AGAGAACAGGGGACGGTCAGAGAGAGGGGGAGAGAGAGAATCCCAAGCAGGTTCCACCCCGTCAGCACAGAACCCGATGTGGGGCTCGAACTCACAAACCGTGAGTACATGACCTGATCCAAAACTAAGAGCCGGGCGTTCGACCGACTGAGCCCAGGCGCTCCTACTTTTATATAAAAAAAAAAAATTCGTTTTTTACTTTAAGTAAACTCTATGCCACACGTGGGGCTCCAACTCACAACCCCGAGATCAAGAGTCGAAAACTCTACCGAATGAGTCAGCCGGGCGCCTGTTTATAGCATTTTCAAGGAAGGCCTCGATGAGACGCCATCCGAGCTGCGACCCACAAGACAAAAGTGAGGAGTCTGCCCTGCAGACAGGGGACTGGGAAGTACGCAGCCTCAAGCTCGCACCTCTGACTGCGTGAGAGGCCAGTGCACCCGAGGTTTAATGAGATGAGATCCGGCGTGGGCACCGGCCAGAGCACGTCCACCCTTGTGAGGAATGTGAATTTTTATTATAAAGTCAACAGGAAACCAGTAAAGGACGTTTTACCTTGTTTTGAGCCTTCGAAAATTTTTTTGAATTTTTTTTTAAGTCCTACAGCTAAATGGCCAGATCCTTAGTAGGCAGCTCAATGCGTTTTTACAAAGCGAACCCGCCCATGTACCCAGCACTCCGACCAAGACACAGGTCATTACCAGAATCCCAGACGTGCCTCCCTCACCAGGCGCTACCCCCCCACCGACAAGAGTCCCCACTACGCTGACTTCTGCCCCGCAGGCTGGTTTGGCCCATTCAGCACTTTACACAAACGGAATCATACGGTGTAGTAATTTTGTGTCTGGCTTCTCCAGCTCAATATATGTCTGTGAGGCTCCTCCTATCATTATAGAGAGTTCTAGTCTGTTATTTCTCGTGCATTCCAGCGTGTGAATATACCACAATTCATTTAAACATCCTACCGTTGATGGATGTTTGGACAGGCTCCCAATTTGGGTTTATTACAAGTAACGCTGCGATAAATGTTCCTGTAAATGTCGTTAGGTGAACTTATGTTCGCACTGCTGCTGGATGGATATTTAAGGGTTGGATTGCTGATCTTTTTTTTTAAACGTTTATTTACTTTTAAGAGAGAGAGAGTGCACAAGTGGGGGAAGGGGCAGGGGTGGGGACAGAGGATCTGAAGCGGGCTCTATGTTGACAGCAGAGGCCGATGTGGGGCTTGACTCACAAACCGTGAGATCATGACCTGAGCTGAAGTCAGACACTTCACTGACGGAGCACCCCGAAACTGCTGATTCTTAAGTTATGCAGGTATTCAGTGCTAATAGATCTTGCCAAAGCGTTTTCGGAAATTCGTATACCAATTTTATTCCCATCAGCAAAATATGAGCGTTTTAGTAGCTCCATACCCTGCTGGATTTGAGAAGATCCCACTGGCAGGGCGCCTGGGTGGCTCAGTCGGTTAACTGTCCAGCATCGGCTCAGATCATGACCTCACAGTTCATGAGTTCGAGCCCTGTGTCGTGCTTTGTGCTGACAGCTCAGAGCCTGGAGCCTGCTTCCGATTCTGTGTCTCCCTCTTTCTCTGCCCTTCTGCCACTCGCGCTCGGTCTCTCTCTCCAAAAAAAAAAAAAAAAAAAAAAAAAAAAAAAAAAAAGATACCACTGGCTCCCTTGTGGGATAAGGAGTCAGTAGGTGAAGCAGAACCAGACTGAGGTCACTGAAGTTGTCCAGGAGAGTGGATAGTGGCTGAGAACGGGCCGGGGGCCAAGTAAGCAGATTCGAGCTATAATCCCAGCGTTTCCTTCTATGCTTACAAAGATCCTTCTCTTGGCAGAGTAGACGTAGGCACAGAGTTAAGACAGAGGAGCTTGGACGAGAAAAAGAAACAAACACTGACTAAAAAAGTAAAACTCTCCAGCAGGTAGGTCATTCGAAATTGGTAAACCCCAAAGGCAATTCTAGATGTCTTCGGATCTACGAGCTTCCCAGCAAGTGTCCTACCCAGAGAGACTAAGCCAAGAGGCCAGCGCTGGCCCTAGACTTGCCAAGAGCCTAGGAAGGGGAGAGAGGAAGCACCTGGCAGGAAGCCCATCCAATTCTGCGAGTGTTTCTATGAGGTCCCTACGGAGGAGACAACAGAACTTGAACTCTCAGCGCCTCCCCGAGAGAGGAACACAACGCTGGTTCACGCAAGGCACAGATCCAGACAGCTGTGAAATTCCAGAGATGGGCGCTGGGCAAAGAACTTGGCCTGGTGCAACAAGATAAGGCTAGAGCCAAAGTGAGAAGCCTCGAATGCCTTCTAGAGCTCAGCCTTGATGGGCTACTCTCTGAGGAGACCCTGAGGGATCTGAGCCAAGACCCGTGGAGAGGCGTTTGCTCTGGGGGTAGCAACATTACGGCGGAGTGCACGGCAACGTGGAGGCATACGAGGTATGGAAACCTGGCAGAGGGGCTGAGAACATCATCCTCGAGGGAGGGGGCTGGGGACTGACCCCGCAGACCAAGGAACAGACAGATTCAAGAACCATTAAAGGACAAGGCGAGAAGACTCGAGGTCTGGCTGGGTGTGGAGGATTCAAGTTGATCAGCCTGGGTGACCTACAGAATATTTCCACCGATGGAAATGAACAAAAAGTCACAGGGAGGCGAACTGGGGGAACCTGGGGGGGAAATCGTGAGGTCAGTAGCAGGCTGGCTGGGGTGAGCTAAAACCTAGACACTGACATGAACGTATCCTTGAGCAGTTACATTTGAAGCTGGAGGTGGGTACTGTTCCAGGCGACAGGTGACACCCTGAGAGGGGACGGGCTCTGTGACGAAGGCCACAGGGAGACAGGAAGACAGAAAAGGCCAGGGCGGTATGTTGGGGAGCCCTACACTTCCTATCAGAGCATTCGCTAACGCTCTCCTCCACCTTCCACATAATCCCAGCTCGCCAGACCCTCCAACACCACGATTCCTTCCTGCTGCTCAGGGGACTTCTGGTCATTGTGACTGTTTACTCTGAGCCAGTCTTGACATCAGGCACAACCTGTTATTTCATTAATAAATCCTGATGGGGCGCCTGGGTGGCTCAGCCAGTTAAGCGGCAGACTTTGGCTCAGGTCATGATCTCGCGGTCCGTGAGTTCCAGCCCCACGTCGGGCTCTGCGCTGACAGCTCAGAGCTTGGAGCCTGCTTCCGATTCTGTGTCTCTCTCTCTGCCCCCTCCCTGCTCGCACTCTCT